TATAAGTTGACAAATTTGCTAAAACAAAATTAAAAACATATACAAACTTGAAACAAATACAATACATTAGTTCCCTCTAACGAGTTTATTGCTGCAGCTCAAAGAGATGGTCCTCTTTCTTCCGTGGGTCAGTAAAGACTGCAAGTCTTGGAGCTACGTTGAATACTGCACTGCTGTGAATTTATAGTAGGAATATCATGATCTTTAATAATGGATAACTATCCATTAAACTTCTTTAGTCTTCAGGTGACCTCTCTTGAACCAATACTAGACGAACGTGGAGCGAATTGTTCGAACTTTTAATAAATTCTTTTTGTAGCCTCAGACGTCACTTTTTCTTGCTCGATTGATTAGCGGCAGGGACTGGCTCGAGATAAAAAATCCCAGATTCGACGTACCCCTAAAATGTATATTTAAAAATTTTTCACTTTCAATGTAATTTGTTTTAACATAATTATCACGCATTGTTAAAATCAAGTAAAATCCGACAAATAAATTGAAATTTTTCACTAAATTATTAAGATCGTGGGTTCCTTATTCCATAAAAAAAAACATCTTAAAAACTATTATTTTTAATGATCAGGATATTCAGCAAAATATTCTGAAGTAAGAACGTGTCTAAAATCTTGATCGTAGTTAGCCCATCTAAGCGTGCATTAACAATTCAATGAAAATGACTGAGGCATCGACGTAAAGCTGGACAAAAAGTTTAAATAAAAGACCGAAACATGCCAGTTCTCAAGCGTGGTGAGGAATTCTCGAGTGAAATCTGTGGTGAGGCGCGTGTTCGATGAATATCAGGCTGCTGATGCATTTTATATACAACCAACGAGCGGGAAAGTATATTTGTTTGCAATCAGTTTTATAGAAATTTCTGGCTTCCACCACACTCTTATATCGTTCGTTTCTGTTCAGGCTGAGTTACACTCACTTAAAGCATCGGGTTTATCTGCCTATTAAGTCACAGGCAAAAGTGCATAACTTTTCGAAGTCTCAGGACCTACTCCTCCAGTCTGGTGAAATTCAGTGAATATTTGGACGAGCAACTAATGGATTCTTGGAATTCTTTTCTGTATAATATGCAATATATGATTCCTTTACAAGTCAAATTGTGTTATGATTCAAAGTGTGATCATAAACAGGTAAAATTTACAGACAATAAAAACAAATTTATCCTGTGATTAATTCAGATTTTTTTCTTTAAGTGCCGGATAACTTCAATCTAAAGTCGGAATTATTTTCCTCTCTGGAATATCCAGGCTTATCTGGTATCGTCAGGTTGTTTTTATCTGGTATCGTCACTATTATATACTCTTGGTTAGCAATTAGAACAATAAATTTTCAGTATTTATAGGTTTCATTCTCAAATAATGTAAAATTAGTCGTTATAGCTTTTTCAGTGACTGGAATTCACGAAAGTCATCGACTTGTTGGATGAAGTTAAAAAAATGAATATGTTTTACTGGTTGTTTGATTCCTTAATATCGGAATCATTTTCGAGGAACAAAGAGACTTTTCAGACAAAGAACGGAAAATTTGTGTCATCGAATATCGATGATGATTATATACCATCTAAATCGCAGCCATCTTTTTCTTGGAAAGATTGTAATTTGTTTTTTTTTTCTGCTTGTTTTTCATAAACTACAGACCTAAATATTCCCTTTTGCGTGCAAACTGACATTTGCTAATGAAAAATGTTGGAAGTTAGAACCCCTCTTGTAAATCGGAGAGGCACGTCGGATTCTTATAAAAAAATTATAGTAAAAAATACCTAATGCTTGAAATTCGGAACCTTATAACATCTCCGTTTCACTCAAAGCTTAGAACAAACTTAATTAACTCCCGTTAAAATTTTCACAAAAGTTTGCATCTGAGCATCTGTGAGATTATAGCAAAAGAGGTAAATGAAAATATTTGTTTATATCAAAGGGTTAGACTCCAATATTTGGAGTCTAACCAAATTTTAATTATTTTAACGTTAACGCTCAAATATTTTAACACTAACGCATTGATTCGTAAATTAGCAGAGACACGATTTATCAATCTCTGCCCACAATATCTATTAACTTTAAGATTTATTTAACGCAGAAAACTCGGGTTACATTCGGGAAATTATTGTTTCTGAGAATACAAGAGAGTAGTGTGATTATATTATACGTGGGTATCTACTGCTTCCATGTCTCCGACTGAGGAAAAATTTGTATTAAACTTGAACGGATATTCCATGAACCTTTCCAAATCCATATAATTATCAGTTCGTACCTGAGCGCGTGGCCGCATGGCAGTTGTCATAAATTATTAAGCAACGCTGTGGCTTCCATGTACGGCAGGGAGAAGTGCCTTCTGGACTTCCTAGCGTCTATTTTTAAAGCAGGTAAGAACTGACGTTGAAGTTAGCATCAGGAGTGAGGCTTCACAGGACTTACGTAGTGCGAGTATTGCTGTGAACAGGCTCGGGTGTGCTCGCCATCGTGTGCTCTGTAGATCATTTATTGAGTGTTGAACGTTGCGGTCTGTTATTCAGTACAATGTTTCCGTTTACAATACATTCAAGATTTTATACAGTGAGTATTTGTGAATCTTCTTGGACCGCATACTATTTACGAGGCATAATTTAAGAACCTCTTCCCCGCCTTTGATATTATTTATGTTAGGTACTTTGCCCAAATATTGGCAGTTGATTTCATCTCGTTATTCTGCATTAAGTATTGATTATCATAATCACAAATGGTCAAATCCAAACATTCTATTTGTTAAGGAATTCAATTTATTCAAACATGCATTTTCATCTGTTTAATGAAGATGGGAATAAATCTGTTGATGATGTAGACGGAAATAAATGTGTTTGCTGGTGTTACCCGAGGTACAGTAAGAAACCAATATGTTTGTGATGGTAGCTTGCGATGTAACAACAATGTGAGTCAGCCCTTTAAAAGTAAACAAAACTTGCTTCACCAATTCATTTCAGCCATTTGTACCCATGCTTTATCACAACTTAGTTTAAAACATAATTAATTATGCTACAAAGTTTGAGTGCTTGAGAATATTTGTGCAAATAGATTCACTGAAGTCTCATGCTTCCCTTTGGCCTATTTATTTAGTGTTACATTATCTTCAGAATACATTCTCATGGTACTTAACATTTCTGTTTGTAAGTAAACAGTAAACACTGATCTATAAATTAAAGTAAAAATGAAATAAATTACTGTATAAAGTAATTAATAAACCCTCTGAATCTTCACGAGTATTTCTCGGTCAGAACAGCTGTCATATTCATCCCATTCAAGAAATGGTACGATGTATTTAAAAGATTTAAGAATGCATTACATAATCAAGGCTGTAACTTACATCCGGGAATCTGAATACCTCCAAAGTTAAGCAACTAATAACTGATTAAATTTATAACAAAAACAGGTAACTCCTTTTAAAAATATCCAAACCTTCCTGCTAGGCTAACGAACATTAATTTGGCCTATTTATGTAGTGTTACATTATCTTCAGAATATATTCTCAAGGTACTTAACATTTCTGTTTGTAAGTAAACAGTAAACACTGATCTATAAATTAAAGTAAAAATTAAATAAATTGCTATATAAAGTAATTAATAAACCCTCTGAATCTTCACGAGTATTACTCGGTCAGAACAGCTGTCATATTCATCCCATTCAAAAAATGGTACGATGTATTTAAAAGATTTAAGATTGCATTACATAATAAGGCTGTAACTTACATCCGGGAATCTGTATACCTCCAAAGTTAAGCATCTAATAACTGATTAAATTTACAACAAAAACAGGTAACCCCTTTTAAAAATATCCAAACCTTCCTGCTAGGCTAACGAATATTAAAAAGTACTAACTTGTACTAACTAGCTGCACAAATGTTGCGTGAGATGCAACAGGAGATTCTCTCATACGCATCAAGGCTATACGAGTATACGTGGAACACCTGTACTACCGGTCGGGCGAGTTGAAAAATTAACATCCTTCCACAGCATCTTGCTAGGCCCTCCAGCCGTCCAGCTCTGAGTTAAAGACAAGCAATATATTTGCAAGATGAATAATTATTTAACATGAAGCTTTAAATCTCCTCGAATATTTTTCTTGCGTCCATGGTAACTGATAACTGCTGACACTGATTTACGAGTATGTCGAGTACGGAGCTGCTCAATTGTAAATGTTTCTCATGCCTTATCCTTGATTGTTCTCAATTAAATTGTGGTCACAACTTCTTGTTTCATTACGTAACATCTTCTCAGATTTCGATACTTGCAATTTAGCGAAGTTTTCTGTGAAGTTGAGTGAGAAAATCACATAAAATGACGAGCAATGTCAAATCTTCAAGACCATAGGCCTTTTTTAGGTTAGCCCACAATTCTTTTCACGATGGATGACCAGATAGTTTTTTGTTGTTTTGAATGTCATTTGGTCTTTCCAACGCGCTTGGTCTTTTTCATAATAGATAACATTGCCATTATTGAACTTGTGTAAGTGCTTATAATATTTATTCATTAATTTTTACAACGCTGTTATAATAACTAGTTTTTAGCTTTGAATGCATGAAAACTCAGGTGACTGTCCAAACTCCTCAGTTCACAAAGAACAAGCGAAGTCGCGCGCATAAGTTTGGACGAGTTGCGCTTCCACGCCTGCCCAACACGGAAATATTTAGCCGTCATGCGCATGCAACGCGGGCATGCCACGCAGGGCATGCAACGCAGGGCATGCCACGCAGGGCATGCCACGCAGGGCATGCAACGCAGGGCATGCCACGCAGGGCATGCATATCCAGCATTCCGGTCGACGCTGCATTATAGAGCCGAGAGAAAACTGAGCTGGAACTGGCCTCTCAAAAATGAATAAGTCTTGTTGTCCAAATAATAACAAACTTTGTGCACGTAATATTTATACGCAATTTTTCAAGGGTTAAACTTGTCACTATAAACCGAGCAAGGGAAAAAAGTGCTTCGGTATTTAGACAAAGTTTCAATCATATTCTTGAGTGTGAGCGAGAGCCGAACCTTTGCTCAGTGCTACCGTATAATTTGCATGCGTCATGCCTTGAAACCTAGAATCTTAGAACAAAAAAAAACAAACTTTCATATAGTTACAGTATGTGACCACTTTATGGGCTTTAAATAAATATTTCATATTATTTTCTAAAAAATAATCTATTAAGCTAAAACACATTTTATGAAGAATGTATCAGAAATTTTCGTGTTTCTAATTTAAAATTTTCAGTGTTTCTATTCAACAGAAGCTTCTGATATCGACCATGCTGCAGCTGGCCGTACTTCACAGCTCCTTCTCACAGGTGCATGCATTCCAAATTTCGTAAAACTATAGCTTCTCCATTGATAGAATGATTTGAAATATATTATTTTTTTAAAATGAAATACAAATTCTGTTTATTATTATCATGTCTCACGTTTTTCATATTAGAGTTTCTTTCCCATGCATGTCCTGCGTTGTTTTACGTGAGGGCTTGAATGCAAAATTTTGTTTTGAATCCAATTTTTTCAAGCCGCGCACACTTTTTAAGTAATTAGAACTTGTCGATAACTCTGAAAAGACATATTGTTTAACTTATATAGGAATGATTACTCAATTTACCTGTAAAATTTGAATATAAGACCAATCTTTTTCCTGATCTGCTTTCAGATCGTGTTTCCTGGACAGGATAGCAGCAGCAGCAGCAGCAGCAGCAGATATTTTCTAAAAAATAATCTATTAAGCTAAAACACATTTTATGAAGAATGTATCAGAAATTTTCGTGTTTCTAATTTAAAATTTTCATTGTTTCTATTCAACAGAAGCTTCTGATATCGACCGTGCTGCAGCTGGCCGTACTTCACAGCTCCTTCTCACAGGTGCGTGCATTCCAAATTTCGCAAAACTATAGCTTCGCGGTTGCCAGAATAATCGAAAAAAAAATATATTTTTAATAAAATTATATACAAATACAATTTATAAGAGTCATGTCTCACCTTTTTCATATTAGAATTTCTTTACCATGTAGTGCGTTGTTTTAAGTGAGGGGTTGTATGCAAAATTTAGTTTTGAATCCAATTTTTTCTCGTAGCGCACGTGTTTTAAGTAATTAGAACTTGTCGATAACTCTGAAAAGACATATTGTTTAACTTATATAGGAATGATTACTCAATTTACCTGTAAAATTTGAATATAAGACCAATCTTTCTCATGATCTGCTTTCAGATCGTGTTTCCTGGACAGGATAGCAGCAGCAGCAGCAGCAGCAGCAGCAGTAGCAGTAGAATTAACAGCGGTTCGCCTTCAGACGCCAACAACACAATTCTGTCACTCGATGACACCTTAGCCGGTGCTGTGAACCACGACAGACTTAATCGCAACTCGGCCGCATTTTACCGCGGCTTGAGTGATAAATTCTTACCGCGATGCTCGTTTCCTACGGGAGGACAAGGTGGGAATTCGTTAGATACGTCAATACTTTGATCTGTGCTACTATATATTAAACAATCATTGCAATTTAACTCTTAATACGGGTACATTGATTGTCGTTAATGCTATTGTACGTAAATGTCTTCTCCACAGTTGACAGTATGCACGCTACAAGTTAGTTATTTTTTCGGAAGAAAATAATTGGTATAAAAATCAGGAGGAGACATAAAAGTTGGAATATCAAATAACCGCTTTGTTTAGCTATCAAAATTACCTGCGATTTTTACTTTACTTGCAGGCCAGTGCGTTAGGTTATTTCAGTGCCCTTACATGATCCCATTTGTGAGCCGCCTCCGCGACCCGCAAACTTTCAACTTCGTCAGACAACACATCTGCAGGTTAGTCAGTTCTTTGCTGCAGGTCTTTTGGAAAATCAATCATGCGTTTTTAACAGATATTTACAAATTTAGAAGCGCTATCAGCTTGATTGCCTTCATATTTTTTTAATAAATTGTAAATTTTCGTGTAACTTTATACATGCATCTTCTTCATGTGCCGAAAACGCAATGATACTATGATCCAGCTCGTTTATTGGCTGGTTATTTCATGCTTCGAGTTCGAACTGAGCCATAATAAATTCAACAGTTTTTGAAATCCTAATTTGAACTTAATAGTGATCACGTCCTAAATATTCATAGGAGTATACTCTCAAACATTCAGTTGAATCATCGATCGTTTGCTTAAGTTTTTGGAATAACCAGCTCTTTAATTTCATTCTCCACAGCGTCATCGGCCGCACTGTATTTCTGTGCTGCCCCAATCAGGCTTCCCCTCTCCCAACTTTTGGAGTCAATGCTTCCCCAGGACAGACGTTCCCATCTCTACCAAGTTCTGCGGTGTCAGTCCAGCCTGTGGGACTTATACAGCCTGCGATCCCTTTCCAACCAGCGGTACCTCTACAGCCTGCGGGACCTTTGACTCCCCAGTCCGTCCTCTCGTTTCCATCATTAAGCTCGACTACCTCGTTAGGCTCAACCAGCAGTGGAGGGTTTAATTCAGGTCAAAGTTTCAATCGCCCTGGTTCAACAAACAGCGGAGGATTTATATCAGGACAAAGTTCAAGTGACCCCATAAGATTAACTTCGACTGGTGTGGCAAACTCTTTTAATGGAGCTGATTTAAGCGTAGGGGACTGCGGGAGATCTAACGTACCATTCATCGTAGGCGGCCGAAGCACAGCAGTAAGTACTGCGTTGTGTTCGTTGATTAACACGTTGAGTGCGGCAAGACCAACGGGTGGGTTGCAGGGTCTTTTTTCTGGACAAATTCTGTGATTTAGTTTTTTTCTATTGCGTTGGCTGACAAGAATTTATGATGTTGATACTTCCTTATTAGATTTCAAACTGTTGGTACAGGAAAAAGGAAAATCGAATTTTTGCGCCGAAGCTTACTAANATCTCAACTACAAGCTATTGTAACGTAAAATAATCAATTATCCAGGCCAACTAAGTTGGTTCCAAGAACCATTTCAAGTCATTTATACATAGTAGAGATCGAGTGTTCAAAGACGCGCATAGTTCCGGGCTTGAAAGGCAAGTCCTATGAGGAAAGATTAAAGATTATGAATTTTTTTTGACACTTCCTCACTGAAAACCATGCATTATTTGGCTGATTCTCTTCCATGAGACCGCTAAGCTTGATGATAGCTTTAAACCGCATTTCAATAACATTGGCGTGTTCACTTGGCTGGAATTCCCATGTTTCCAGTGAATCCTCTCGTCAAAATACCATATATTTTAATGGGGGCTCACACTCTGTTTCTGTGCTGAAGCAATTGAATTGCAATTGTTGCAATGCATGCAATTGAATTGCAATTGTTGCAATGCATGATTTAAATTGTTGCTATTCCCTGACAATTTCAGCCGGGCTCGTACCCCTGGCTAGCAGCTGTGGGTGCGCCGGCACGAGACGGCGTCCGCTTCATCGTTGCGTGTGGGGGCTCGCTGATCACCGCGCAATACGTCATCTCAGCAGCACACTGCTTCACTGAACTGCCTTTGTGAGTTGCTTGCATACACAGATTATTGATTATTATTTATCGCAGCTAAACAGCGTTTCCTCAGATTTTTTTGAGAAATCAACAGTCTCGTAAAGTGTGATTATATCAACAATCGCTTAATATTTAATTTCATTCACGGACGGCGAATTGAAGAATGAATTATTGAATGAATTCAATGAATTATCTGCAACATTAATCACGGAATTTCACTCTTGAACATTGGATGATGTGTCATTTGATTCATATTCGTCTCATGCAGAACACACGTGCGGCTTGGAGAACACGACATAACTTCCAACAGAGATGGCGTGCAGCCTCAGGACTTCCGTATCCTGCGGCACATCAATCCTGGCTACAACACAGCCACCAAACTCAACGACATTGAGCTCCTACAGCTCGACAGGACGGTCAATTTCAATGGCAAGTTTCAAGAAAGACTTGGAATTAGGATTTTTGGAGGAATTAAGATTTTAAGAGTAATTAGGATTTGTCGGATTTTAGAAGGTATTAGGATTTTTAGGATTCTTAATCCAAGAAGGATTAGGAATTATGATTTCCTTCTAGATTAGGCTTTAGCAAATCATCCAATTTAATATGTTACAAATAATCGGGAAGCTTGCTTCATTCACGTGACAGTGAGACAACTAAAAAATTAGAACATTTTATTGTCACAGTCACAGGACTGTGTCATCCAATTTGTACAATGAATTCATAACCTTGCATTTTTACACTCATGAATTTATGATTGTTGGAGTGGATTTCGTGTTTGACCAATTGTTAAATTCTATTGTTGTTTAGTAACTTTCTGGCTAAGTTGTAGGTAGCAAGACCGGCTCGGCATTATGTAAGCACATCACATTTCAAGAGAATATATTTTTTTCCAGATTTCATCAGGCCAGTGTGCCTGCCAACCTTAGAGATCACAAGAAGTGGTTTCCGAGGTGCTCAGTTTGAGGTCGTAGGATGGGGGTCAACCCGTGAAGGTAATTCTCATCAAGAATACTTCTCATCTTATTTTTTTTTAAAGAAAATTCTACAGTAACGTTGTGGTTTTGAAGTTCATGTACAAACTAGGCATCAAAATATTTTTACTCAGTGAAAAACAACGAGCTTTATTAGTTTTTATCGAAACAATCGCGATAGATCTTGTATCGCAAGTTTATTTATTTTCTCGCAGCTGGTGCGGGTAGCACCACTCCTTTGGTAGCCAATATACCTCATGTTGAGGGGGCGGTGTGTCAGGAGCAGTACAGGCAACGCCTCGCTCTACGTCCTGAACAGCAGATTTGTGCCGGGACAACAGGGATTGACTCATGTCAGGTACGATAACTCTCTGAGAATTATTCTGTTTAGGTACGTTGTTCAGCTTGGCTAGAGATCGCTTGCAGCATTTTGATTACTCAGATTCACCGCATGAATATGAAAACAAAAACTTCTGGTCGAATAAACGGTCACAACTGTTAATTCGTGTATGGTTTTCAATCGTGAGTTTCCATATTGCTTTTTTGTTCGTCGTGCAGGGTGACAGCGGAGGACCTCTCCAGTACCTGAGCGAATCAACAGGAGGTAGCCAATATACCTCATGTTGAGGGGGCGGTGTGTCAGGAGCAGTACAGGCAACGCCTCGCTCTACGTCCTGAACAGCAGATTTGTGCCGGGACAACCGGGATTGACTCTTGTCAGGTACGATAACTCTCTGAGAATTATTCTGTTTAGGTACGTTAATAAGCTAAGCTAGAGATCGCTTGCAGCATTTTAATTACTCAGATTTACCGCATGAATATGAAAACAACAATTTCTGGTCGAATAAACGGTCACCACTGTTAATTCGTGTATGGTTTTCAATCGTGAGTTTCCATACTGATTTTTTGTTCGTCGTGCAGGGTGACAGCGGAGGACCTCTCCAGTACCTGAGCGAGTCAACAGGTCGTTACTACCTTGTGGGGGTAGTGTCCTTCGGTGTAGGATGTGCCCGAACAGGCTTCCCTGGAGTTTACTCGAAGGTAGAATATTTCTTACCGTGGATTCGCCAGAACGTCCAGACGTTCTGAAATGTCTTGTCGCTCTCTAATGTTCAAGCGCTCTAAAATCTCGAACCGCTCTCGGAATGTCCATACGCTCTCAAAAGTTCTGACGCTGTAAAATGTCTTGCCATTCATGAATGTGCGTGCACAAAGCTTAAGAAATTACCAAGTCTTTAAATATGAAAACATTTTGAAATGTACGGATACTTTGAAACACTTGAAAAATGCTGTTCTTAATATGCTGCCATGCAATGGTCACAGGTCTCTAAAACAACGATTTGTATTAATCTGAAGCATAATTTAAATGTTTTCTCAGCAATCAAGTTTACAAATTATTATTGAATTATAATAATTATAATAATATTATTGTTATTACATATTCTGAAGAGCATGTGGTTAATGGATCAGTAAATTTGATCAGACGCCGTTCCGGCTTACGTTACCAAGAAAGGCAGATACGCATGATGCAACGTATGACAGTCACGGCTGTGCACCATGCATGACTATTAATTTTGTCAATTTTATTGAACTCATTCATCTGGCCACGGACTACGTAATTGATTTTAGGGGTTAGTGGTTTGGCGAGAGACTAGCATGAAGTTCATTGGGACAAAATCCTTCATCAGGACTAGGAATCATTCACACAGAAAAATTAATGCACCGACTTGTCCATATATTGATAAACTTACTTTCCCACAGAAAACAGCGGACTTGGCACAAACATGTACAGTTGCCGTGACTATAGCTGGGCCAGGATAACCTACACTAGAGGTTAGAGCAAAAAGTGCATCATTGTTTGGAGAAAAGTCTCCATATTTTTCTTTTGAGTATAATATCAAGGAGCCTGATGCTCAAAAATCGTTAAATTTGAATTTAATTAGAAAATGAGTTAAATTAGAGTGAAGAACTGCACTTGAGCCTGCGAAGAGAGTGTAATATTGTTTCTAATAATTTTGCTATGTATCGACACGAAAACGTGTAATCCTGAGTAAACATTTACTAAAATCAGGAAAAATCGAATTTTTTACGGTTGTTTCTTTGAAATGGCATTAATTTTATGGTCGCCTCCATAAATAAACTTACTTTTTTGTCATACGCCCTACGGAAAAGGCGCATCATATACTCTGTCTCTTATACACATCTAGATGTGTATAAGAGACAGCCTTATAACATTTCCTTGCGCTGTGCAGGAGAATGATATTTGCTGATGTTCGAATACGGGCATTTTCTAATAGGATTTTCTTGAGGTGCAGGCACAGATGATTGGTGAGGTTCGATTACAGGCATTTTCTTATGACA